CTTTTTTATTTGTATAACTTAAGGCAGTATTTTAGATATAAATGATAGAAAAAGAATATTATTTTAAAAGATGACTTGCAACATTGTATTTAAACTGTAATCATGAAATCACTGTAGGCACAGTCCATGTCTAATAGATATTTGCACATGCTGATATATAATAATATTGGCTCTATTTAACTAGTCTTGGGGAAAATCTACAATTTTACTATGGCTCCAAATGCAACAATTGTAGAATTCCCCCAGGACTACTATTTAACTGCATTATTGGACCCTAGAAATTTAAAGTATCCTTGATCTTCTAAAAATCTGGCTGCGTCTAGACTGGCATGATTTTGCGGAAATACTTTTAACGGAAAAGATTTGGCCATTTTAGCCATCGGGCTTTCTTGCGCAAAAAATTAAGGTGCCTGTCTACACTGGCCCTCTTGCACAAATATTCTTGCACAAGAGGGCTTATCCCTGAGCAGGAGCAGGAAAGTATTTGCGCAAGAAGCACTGATTTTGTACATTACAAAGTCAGTGCTCTTGCGCAAATTCAAGTGGCCAGTGTAGACAGCTGGCAAGTTTTTGCACAAAAGCGTCTGCTTTTGCGCAAAATCTTGCCAGCTAGACGCACCCCTTGTGTTAGTGAACTACATTCAGAGGTTCAAGTTCAATGGTGGTAATAATAAAATTATTATGATTATATTTAGCTCTAAATCATTAATAATAAGTAGGTCTCACTCTGCTTAAATACACCTCTTCTTACTCTTCCATCTCCACACAGTATACATTACACCACTTAAACTGCATAAGGAGAGCAAGTCTAAGAAAATCTAATAGGGTATGTCTAAACTACAGGATAAGGTTGAATTAAGATACACAACTTTAGCTACGTTAATTACATAGCTGAAGTCGAAGTAACTTAACTCAACTTTTGGCACTGTCCACACTGCAGGAAGGTGAAGGGAGAACACTCTCCTTTTAACTTCCCTTACTCTTTGTGGAAACAGGACTACCAGCATCAGCTGGAGTGTCCCCCCCCCCCCCCACCCCCAATTTGTGTGTTTTCCTGGAGGATTGACAGCGGCAGCTTCAGTCTTCTCTGTAGTGTAGACATACCCTAACTGATCATAAGAGGCCATGATGATCATTTACATTAAGACTGTCCTTTGCACATTTCTGACAGTGTAAAGGAGCCCTTAGTGTAAATGAGAATCAAGCCCAAGCAAGTCTAAATTAGTCCAAAGAGGTCTAAGTTATACCACCTTATGTCTCACTTCTGAATTTGAAGTGTTATAACCACCTGTTGCCACCTGACAGTGGATGAGTATGTCTGACTGTGGAGGAGGTACAAAGATTTAGTGGTAAGATTAAAAAAAAGGAAAGATAAAGAATGTGGAAGACATTTTCATTTTTCCTAATCTGGTGGATGAATGCTGTGTTCATGGCAGTCCAGGACTGTTAATGTAGGCAGGTGCTGTACAAAATTTCTCGTGAAGCCTGCCACTGCATCTGAATTCTTTCAGCATCACTGCTATTCCACTTCTATATCTCTCATGAGCAGAGCCTGCCAGTCATGCAAAATTGTATAAAAATTCTATTATCTTCTAGACAAAAAAACTGTAGGGACAAGGCTGAAACACACCGAAGGTCATTTTCACTTTTGACCTAAGCTAGGATGTGAAAATTGGCCTCTGGAAATGAAATGCTTGTTTACTTGTCTTAATATATAGTTTCAAGATGCTGAATGAAGTATAAATCAAGACTATTTATAATAAGTTCTCTGTTACACATCTTATATTTTATATGTGTTGATAATATGCTCATTTTGATATACTGGTTCTCGCCCTATTTTGACTACAATAGGGCAAAATTTTAGTAGGAACTAAAGATGGAGAAATACTTGAAGTAGGAGAAAAAAATGCTGCTTCAAACCTGCTTATTGATAGTCACATGGAAGGGGAGATTTGGGGCTTAGCAGCTCACCCCACGAAAGACATATTTATCACTGCAAGTAATGATGGAACAGCAAGAATCTGGGACCTCTGTGACAAAGTGAGTACCATTTAAACTAAGAATAATGTCATCAGTAGCAATATCTTTACATAATCAAAATTTTTCCAGTTTATGTGTTGCCCTCTGTCCATGTATGCAACTCACTTAGGGTATGTCTACACTACAACGTTAATTCGAACTAACTTAGTTAAATTAGTTAATTCGAACTAGGGAAGGGTAAGTGGAAGGAGGTGAGGGAGGAATGGGGCACGAGCCCCCGATGGGGAGGACTGGGCTGGCTCTGCGGGCTTCTGGGGGTGGAAGCTCTCCTGCATCCCCCCAATTGCCCCCTCTCCTCAGATAGCAACCCGCGGCAAGTTAATTAATTTGAACTAAGCTAATTCGAACTAACGCATACAGACTAAAAAACTAGTTCGAATTAGCGTTTTGCTAATTCGAACTAGCATGTCCACATTAAGTGGACCCTGAACCGGGCTTAAGGATGACCGGAAGCAGTGCTGGCAGGGCATCAGAGGAGGACTTAAAGCATTGAGATGCTGTCTCAGGCTAGCCGAGGGCTGTGCTTAAAGGGTCCCGACCCCCACCCCGTACAGACAGTTCTCAGGGGTGCCCCGCTTGCAAAGCAGTCCTGGCTTGGATTACCCACACTGGGCACATCACAGCACTCGGCCATCAGCCCGGCTGCACTTGCCGCAGGCTGCCATCTGGGGAGAGGGGCCAATCGGGGGGCTGCAGGAGAGCTTCCACCCCCAGAAGTCCGCAGAGCCAGCCCAGTCCTCCCCATCGGGGGCTCGTGCCCCATTCCTCCCTCACCTCCTTCTACTTACCCTTCCCTACCCCCTCTTCTTGATGTACAAAATAAAGATAACGTGTCTTCCAAAATGGAATCTGTCTTTATTGAACAAAACTGGGGGAGACAGGTAAAAGGAGGTGGGAGAGGGGAAGAGAGAGGCTGGGAGAGGGGAGGGCAACTAAAATGATCAGGGGTTGGGAACAGGTCCCATATGAAGAGAGGCTAAAGAGACTGGGACTTTTCAGCTTAGAAAAGAGGAGACGGAGGGGGGACAGGATAGAGGTCTCTAAAAGCAGGAGTTGGGTGGAGAGGGTGCATACAGAAAAGTTCTTCATTAGATCCCATAAAAAGGGACTAGAGGACACCAAAGGAAAGGAATGGGTAGCAGGCTTCAAACTAGTAACAGAAAGTTCTTCTTCACAAAGCAAAGAGTCAACCTGTGGAACTCCTTGCTGCAGGAGGCTGTGAAGGCTACAACTAGAACAGAGTTTAAAGAGAAGTGAGATAAAGT